AAATTGTTGGGAGGGAAACACAACAGCCATTCGGTCTTGTCTGGGTTGAGTACCAGTTTGTTAGCTCTCATCCAGAGCTTCGTTGTGCAAATGTCCTAAACTCTTGGAATGTTAGAAGTGGGGATAAACTATGTTAAAAATGGAAAGAACTCTCGTATTTGTGCTCTCCAATTATATGAGGCCCGAATGTAACTTTTTTTAAAAATAAATCACGGTTAGAGTAAATATGATCATTTTACAGGCAGTCCTCGACTTATGACCACAATTGAGCCCCAAATTTCTGTGGTTGAGACGTTTGTTAAGTGAATTTTGCCCCATTTTTTTTCTCTTGCCTCGGTTAAGTGAATCACTGCAGTTGATTAAGTAAATAAGTGAATCGGGCTTCCCCTTTGACTTTGCTCGTGGGAAGGTCGCAAAAGGGGATAGTGGTGTGATCTTGGGACACAGCAATGGGTCATCAATAGGATTCAGTTGCCAGGCATCTGAATTTTAATCACATAATCATGGGGATGCTGGAAAGGTCATAATGGTAAAAAAAAAACAGTCACTTTTTTCAGTGACATTGTAACTTTAATGGTTAATAAATGAACTGTTGTAAGTTGAGGACTACCAGTATATGGAAAACTGAACCAACTAGATCAGAGCTGTCTGACATGGTGTGGCAGCAAATTCATCAGTTTGGTAAGAATTGGATTAGAACATTCCTAAGGTACAGGCTAAATTTGCAAGATTCTGTTGCAATACCCAATCGCAATTTTTAAAAAAATTAGCCACCTTATGGAGTTGATTTCCTATTCTATTTTTCTAGTGGGGCAGTCACTAAGCTATCAACTTTATGTCATTCCAAATTCTGATTAAATTGCTGAAAGGGAGTCAAATACACTTCTAAAGATTGCACTTGATTCCCAGGGAAATGCAAGTAGACAGGAAAAAGAAAAAAAAGGTATAAACCACTCCAAAGTGATCCCTGATGGATTATATCTACCCTCAACCCTAGAAGTTGAATCCCATATATACTGAGAAATAGTATTAAAGAATTCGGGTATGAAAACTTAGGCATGTTCTGGAAAGAGCAGTGATAAGCGCAAAATGTAATTATGATATTTCTCTCTCTGCTCAAATATAGAAAAGTGATTGGAAAAACAACATTTGCACATCTGCTCCACTCTGATGCCGCTGCCGGTGGCATTGCAGTCCCGCCTAGCCAGGCGAGGCCTGCTTAAGCATGTAGAACCTGGTAAGTACAGGCGGAGGGGGGGGATGAGGAGGAAGATAACTTGTATAGGCTGTCTACAAACCAAGGATGAGCATCAGGGATAGTTCCCAGGAAGTAGAGCTGGTTAGTTCCCAAGTCATTTTTGGCTCTCTAAAATTGGTATTCATTCTGGATTGTCCAATTTTGCCACCTGTTGACCCCGTCTTTTTTTTCAAGCCTGATCCTGTTTCTTTCCACATAAGAGCCAGAAGAGGAAATAATTGCAGAAGATTATGATGATGATCACGTTGATTATGAAGCCACAAGAATGGAGAACCTGCCACCAAATTGGTACAAAGTCATCGACCCAGTTTGGTAAGCATAGAGTGAATGCTCAGTATGTCCTGCTAATGATTTCTATCAGAGTGTTTTTAATCTGTGCTCGCAGGATTGGTACCACTATTCATCGGTGCCCAATCAGATACATGTTTCTGGTTCTGTTAGCTCAGGGCTGTCAAATTCCTGGCCCATGGGCTGGATGCGTCACGCGCTGACCACGCCTGGTTTAGCAGAGGGGGGAAAAGTCCCGATAAGTCATGTGATGCTGCTGTGACAACATGAGTTTGACACCCCTGTGTTAGCTGATCTCTGAAAGGAGAAAAAAATTGGTGGTTCCAGATGGCTGCCAGGTACTGCTTGGCCATCGATGAGTTGGCAAAGTTTTTATTATTTTTTGTATCTCTGATCCAACAGAGTATTATTACTATGAGATGAGAGATGAGATGAGATGCTTTATTTGTATGCCGCCCTTTTCCCTGGGGGGACTCAGGGCGGCTCACAACTCAAGGGGAGGGAGGACAAA